ATTGAAGTCTGTGTAGATGACATCGACATTACCATCCTTGTCCAGTACGCGAGTCCACTGCTCCGTCGAGAGCAATAAACTGGAAAGGCACGAACGGTCCTGTCTGAAGCCGTGCTGCAGGTCTGAGAGTAAATGGCCTGATCCAGGAACTTCATTGTTGCTTTCTTAAATACGGCCTCTATTATTTTACAGCAGATACGGGTTAGACTTACAGGCCGGTAATTGTTAGCATTAGTGCGATTACAGTCTCAGTTTTTTAATCGGTTTTTACGGAGGAGTCCGCAGTAGACAATCAGCAGTTTGAAATGGACCGAGACAGCCAGGAGCTTCAAATGCGCCGAGATACTGCCGTCATTGAAACCGTCGCCTTTTCCGTCACAGAAGTCAGATGCGTCCTCAGTCAAATAAAACCTGATAAGTCTCCTGGACCCGACGGAATTCCGGGGCTGATACTTAAGGAGCTATCAACGGAGCTGTCAAAGCCTCTTTCGACTCTCCTCGAGTTGTCAATGAGAACAGGAAGGCTGCCCTCACAGTAGAAGACAACTAACCTCGTACCATTGCATAAGGGAGGTAGCAGGATGACAGCAAGCAGCTTTAGGTCTATTAGCTTAACTTGCCTCCCTTGCAAGACGATGGAAGCTATAGTAAAAAGCGCTATACAGCAATTTTGTGAAAAAAATAACATCTTGCAGGATTTTCAACATGGCTTCCGGAGAGGACGTTCCTGCCTCTCAAATCTGCTAGCTTGTCTGGAGATCTGGACCAGGGCTCTAGAAGAGGGTTTTGAGGTCGATGTCGTGTACATCGATTTCCGTAAATCTTTTGACACTGTCCCACACCAACGTCTTCTTCACAAATTGAGCGCCATCCGCATCCGGGGAGATCTTCTGAACTGGATAGAGGCGTCTCTGGTTGGTCGGAAACAACGTGTTTGCATCGGGAATGATATGTCAGAATGGGTGAACGAGAGCAGTGGTGAGCAGCAAGGCTCAGTTCTGGGACCATTGCTCTTCATCCTTTATGGTAACGACAGCCTTCAGGAACTCGACCGCGGCAAAATAATGTTTGCAGACGATTTTAAGCTCTGGCAAGTCATTAAGGGACCGAATGATCAGAGATCCCTTCAAGATAATTTGCACCGACTGCGAGCGTGGTCGAAGAAATGGCCTCTAGGTTTCAATGTGGAGAAGTGTGCCGTCCTTCATCTGCGCCCCACCAACTCTCATTCAAATGAGAACCTGAGGACAAATCACCTGAAAGATATAAAGCTCCCCGCAGAATCTTCACAGAAGGATCTCGGGGTTTGGATACAGTACAACCTGGAACCAACACTGCAGTGCCACAAGGCTGCAAAAAACGCCATGGGAGTGCTGCATGCAAAAAGGGCTTTCGTTAACTTTGACCAAGACCTTTTTGCGAGAGTTTACGGCACCTTCGTTCGGCCCCATTTAGAATATGGCATACAAGCATGGCGGCCATGTCTAGTGAAGGATCAAGCATGCCTCGAACGGGTACAACGGCGTGCAACAAAGCTGGTAAACGGTCTAAAAAGCCAATGCTACAGAGAAAGACCGAATTGCCTTAATTTATTCCCTCTGTGTTACAGGCAGCAAAGAGGTGATC